GCTACAGGGTCATCAGCAGACTCAGTGAAAATCACCAGGCACAAAACAGTTAGAACATAGATTAGGTCAAACTCTGTTGAAAAGCACTGACAGATATTAAACTTAGACTCAGATTTTGGTGTGACTTGAGAAATTCATTCTAGATCAGCACTGTTTAATGAACAGAATAATGTTTTAAAAGTTCGTTAGGGCTGGGCGCACAGTGGTTCACGCCTGTTATTCCAGCACTTTGGCAGGCCAAGGCTGGCAGACTGCTTGAGGTCAGGAGTTCGAGACCAGACTGGCCTCGAAACTCCATCTCTATTAAAATACAAAAATTAGCTGGGCATGGTAGTGGGTGCCTGTAATCCCAGCTGCCTGGGAGGCTGAGGCAGGAGAATCACTTGAACCATGGAGGCAGAGGTTGCAGTGAGCCAAGATTGCACCACTGCGCTCTAGCCTGAGCAACAGAGTGAAACTCTGTCTTAAAAATAAATTTAAAAAAAAAAAAAGTTTGTTAGACTGACAGTCTAGAGACCTAGGCTTCTTCATTTAGCAGTTGTGACGATGGGGACATCATCTAATGTCTTTGCACTTCGTGTTTCTTATTTGTAGATGATGATTGAAATTCTACACTTCTCTTGTCCCTCCTAGTTCCAAAATTCTTTAATATAACATTAGCCTGTAAAGCTGAATTCTGACCTGGTCTGGTGAAATATTAACTGTGGGCATTCAGCCCCATCGTAACTCTTACACGACTTGCAGATCATTTTCTGTGGAAAACACATTTTAATGAAAATAGAAAATCAAAATCTCAGTTTTCTCTCTACTTCTTACTGTCTTTGAGACTTAATAATTTACTCAATCCTTTTAAATCTACTTCTTTAACTATAAAATGAAAACCTAATACCTCTATGACAAATAATATGTTATAGTAAAACTCAAGTGTATAATTACAAACAAATCAAAACTCCCCACAAAACATAAGGAATGATATCTTTTAATAGAAATAAGGCTATGGACTTTCTTATTTTCTTTTGTTTTTTTGTTTTTGTTTTTGTTTTTGTTTTTGTTTTGAGATGGAGTCTCACTCTATCACACAGGCTGGAGTGCAGTGGCGAGATCTTGGCTCACTGCAACCTCCACCTCCTGGGGTGAAGCAATTCTAACCTCAGCCTCCTGAGTAGCTGGGATTACAGGTGCCAGGTGCCTGTCACTGCACCCAGCTACTTTTTTTTTTTTTTTTTTTTTTTTTTAGTAGAGATAGGGTTTCACCCTGTTGGCCAGGCTGGTCTCAAACTCCTGACCTTGTGATGCTCCCATCTTGACTTCCCAAAATGCTGGGATTACAGGCATGAGCCACCGCACCTGGCCAGCTATAGACTTTCTTAAAAGTCTTTAAAATATTGTCCACAGTGTTAGTCGACTTGGGATGTTACAACAGGATACCATAGATTGGATGGCTTAAACAACAGAATATTTTTTTCCACCTCAGTTTTTTGAAGACTTGGAAGTCAAAGTTCAAAGTGTCAGCAGATTTGGCTCTTGGCGAGGGCCTTCTTTCTGGCTGGTAGGCAGCCGCCTTCTCTTTGTAACCTCACATGGCAGAGGGGAAGCTCTGGTGTTTCTTCCTCTTCTTATGAGGGCCCTAATTCCATCATGGGGCTCCACCCTTATCTAAACCTAATTATATCTCAAAGTCCCCACCTTCTCATACCATCACATTGGGGGTTAGAAATTCAACATACTGAATTTTGAAGGACACACACATTCAGTCTATAGTGCATTAATGCAGGGAGAAAGACGTGGGCACAATTGATACACAGTTTGATATCCCCCGAAGGAAAGGAAATCCTGAAAAGTCATTAACAGCTTGAAGTTACTATAATTTTGCCATTAAAAATATGGCAAGAGGATAAACTCTCAAATTCAAAATTTCAACAGTTAAACCATCTTTCTTTAACAAGTTTGTATATGTTGAATTCTGTGAGAAAGTGAAATTCTAAAAGAACTGTAAAGATCAGCTGGAAACTCTCCTCACTTTGTGGATGGGAATGCTGAGAGCACCAGAAGTTGAGTGTGTTAGCAAATTGCTGATTATGGGTGGAGACAGGTCCTAAAATGATGTTCCTTCTTCTGTTTCATATCTTTAGGAGCAGTCATTTCAGCATCCCTAGGTAGACATTGTATTACTTACAGATTTGCTTCCACCAGGACTTATCCAGAGGATGTGTAGGATTTGCTAGCAGTGGGATCATTCTGTAGGGCGAGCTGGGAGTCACCACAAAGAGCATCTTTCCCACCTCCTTTGTTCCGATATGGGGAAAGTGAGAAGTTAAGTTGTTAGCCAAAGAGTCTCATAACTAAGAGGCTGGATGATGCAGGGAAAAGCATGCAGGCTTTGAGGAGGTCAGGCCAAGGATGAAACCTGGTTCTACCACTTTTTAGGTGTGTGACCTGGGGACAAGTAGTTTTAGCTTTATAGGCCTTCAGTTTCACATCTGTAGATTAATAATGTAAAGGTGAAACCAGACAACAGACAATGTGCCTGCTACATATTAAGCACTACCCAACCCCCAACTTCTTTTTTAGTAGCAAATCATGACCTAGCAACCTCAATTCTTAACTCCCTAGTCTAGTGCACTTTCCATTACACTTCATGCTGCATGGGTAACATTGTTTTGAAGTGAGACTATTAAGTGCCTTTTTAAAAACCTTATCTTCCAAAATCAATCTGTTCACAATTTTAATAATTCATGAAAGGAGCTAGAATTTGGCCCACAGAGAATTTTATGAACCAAAGGGTTATTTTTAATTGGATTTTGTGCCTGTTGTTATGGAAATAGTTGTTGCATAGATTAAGCATTATGACTTTACTGCAAGATCAAGCCCAGGATGGGGTATAACGATGATATCACCCTTATGTATGCTTCCTTTCCTTGACAAAATATATTTAAAAATGAAAAGAATAGAAGTGAAGCTGCTTCAAAAGCACATATTTCTAACAAAAAAAAAAATCCCCTGTAAAAATAGCTATAAAATGATATGTTCTCTTTTCAAGGATCAAAATGAAAGATGACCCTTACTGCCAGCAGGATGCTAAGATGCTGCAGAGTTATTAAACACTTCTTTCTTCACTATTGAATTTAGAAAGAGGTGTCTTTTTTTTTTTTTTTTTTTTTTTTTTTTTCATCCTGGAACTTGCTTTCAACATTTGATCTCAAAGTATTTTGCAGTTGCTGGACTAGCAGGCTTTCTCTAGTTATTTAGCCATCAATCTCTTAAAACTGTTATATCTAGAATAGTTTTAAATTCATGTGTCTGGATTTGTAATTTAATTTTTCTAAAGAAACAAAAAGATATAAATAACTGAGGCAATTCATCCTGTAAAATTTACCTCATATCACTGGCTCATTTCTAACCTGAGATATACCAGCCAAGGATACAACACTTGAATTATTAGTAGCACCATAAGAGAGAAATCAATAGGCTGGTGGATAAGCTGTAGTTCTGAAAGCAAACAGTGATCTCATGTGGATGGAAAACTCAGGTTTTCTTCTACTCAGTTCTCTCTCTCTTACTCGATCTCTCTCACTCTCCTTTTACTTTTCTTCTTCTCCTTGGCCTGTATCTTTACTTTCTCATATATCCTCCTGTGATCCTTGGGCATTAATTGGTTTTGCTGGCAAAATTTGGTTAAACAAATTGTGAACTCCAATCCTGATTCTCAATCCATTGAAAGCCATGAAACTCAATGATATAATGCCCTTCATTATTTTAATGTACCACCATGTTTTCATACTTAAAAAAAAAAAAAACACCAGGGAAAAAAATCATTACCAAACAATGTATCTTTAATGTTGTTTTTTCTCAATGACTCATAATGTCAGATTAGTAGAAATACTTATTTTTTAAATAAAACTATCCAGTTATATTAGAAGCATTTTCCTTTGCCTTTTTTTTTTTTTTTTTTTTTTTTTTTTGAGGTGAGGTGAGGGATATAGTCTAACTTAATCATTTCAATAATTTCTACCAAACAGCTTTCTGAAATAATATGTCTCTGATGAATCCATTTAAATTTCATTTGCGTAGGTTTATATAGATTCACTAGCAGTTATTCACTAGAAGTATAACAAGAAGTTATACTTCTTGCCCACTCACTTCCCACTGGTAATCCCTTGTCCTCTACTGTTGGTTAACATCACTACTTTTCCTTCATGTTCAGCAGTTGGCCCGTTATTGGCTGTGCCTTTTTTTTTTCTTTCCTTTTTTTCGGTCCACTTACTGTGCGTCAATACGTATACCTACACTTGCCAGAAGTGCCTCCACCACACACAGAGAGATTTGCGACATACAGGTCAATTAGTTGTAAGGTTTATTTCTATGTATTTTTTAGACTCAAAGTTCCATACATTTAGGAGGCTAAAGAACCTAAGAACTTGTTGAGCACTGTAGGTACCAGGTATAAGAGCAGAATAGCAGCTATCACACAAGATAGTACCTTCTCCCAGAGTCTACTGGAAGACTTATCTCACTGAAAATGATTAGCTTATCAGCTGCAGTCAGATATCTTCTAGAACTCAGAGGTTATGTGATGGCTAGACACTTTGTTCGCAGGAAAGTGGTAACTAAAAATCAGAGAATTTATGTTTAAAATCTGTGTTTAAATTTGGGTGAGTTCCCAGTTCTATATTGACTGTGCCTATTTATGACAGCAGGTTAATTTACTTGTTATAGATCAATGCGTAGGGTTAAAGATTCTTAAATGGTCACACTTGAATGTTTGTAAATTTGTCATTTTCCTTGCTTGCTATGACTCTAATGGGCTTGAAAATTGGTCCAGCCCACCTCTCTTCTCTCTCTCCTTTCTCTCCCTACTCTCTCTCTTTCTTCCTCTCTTCTCTCTCTCTACCCTGTCCCTCACCTTCCCCGCTTCTTTGTCTCTTTCTCTCACTCTCTGTGAGGTTCATTTGCTTGACTGATTCTGAGTGTCCATAATGACTGTTTGGCATATTCTACAGGCAAAGGTCCCGAGACTCTTTTTGCCGGCTATAACCTCAATGATAACGAGTGGCACACAGTGCGTGTAGTTCGGCGTGGAAAAAGTTTAAAGTTAACAGTGGATGACCAACAGGCCATGACAGGTAAGCACCCCTGTCCCCGTTGCCTTTTCCTATGCTAACACTTTTGACTCTCATTTCTTGCAGGTGACTTTGCACACCAAAGCTGGTACACAACTTGAAGCTTATACACACAATCCATTTTTATTTGATTTTTTCTAGTAACAATTTTATTAAATAAGCAGTCTGTTAAGTGTTTTTCCCCAAAAATGACACGTTTTATGTCATATTATTGGCCCTTTAATAGTGCAAGAAGAATTTGTAATATATTTTATTTTTGTGGCCTGATAAATATCTTACTGCCTCATCAAATATTGCAGTCATGTTTAGATGCCAATATCTGTTGAGTTTTTTGTTTTGTTTTGTTTTGTTTTGTATATGTTTTGGTCAAGAAAAACTGCAAGTTTTATCTTTTAACTTCTAGGTAAGTTGATAGATACACTGGTATACTGTCAGATGAAATGCCTTTTCATTTTAAGCTATAATAGATTATTTTTGGCCATTTATCTCAGTTGGTTAAATTCTAATATTGAGGATGTCAAGTTCAACCCCCATTTTTACATTCCTGAGGTGAGCTGTATGCAGATCCACCCTAGAAACACAGGAAAGCCACAAGGAAGACCAATCCTTGTGCCTTTAGTTACTTTGAAAACAGCTCCAAGCACATGACCCACTGGGATATTAGCTTCTTTTTCTTTTTTCAGAGAAGATAGCCGTGTTAATTATTCTGGTAAAAAGCACAAAATGGTCCTTGTACAGTGGATATATGTCTGTTCATTCAATTTGAAAGAGGTCCCCATGCCCAGAGAACAGTCAACTGTATCAATGTGGAGATATGACCTATAGGATTTTAAACTTTTGAAAGAATCATTCCTTAGGGAAGGAAGGTAAACAATTTTACAAGGCAGAAGAGTATCAGCCGAAGTTCGATTAGTTTTGGTCTAGGACAGTTCTTTGAAGAGGAATGGATTGTTTTTTAGATCAGCATCCATAGTTTGGACAACCAGGTTTTCTCAAAAGACATGGGAATGAGCATTAGGATCTAAGGTCACATGTAAGAGTTGGGAAGAGGCAGCTGCCAACAGCAAGATCATGCCAGAACTACAATAGAACATTTTTAAGTCTCTGAGTGCCTCTCGAATATTACAGAGTCCTGTGAAGTAGATAGGGCACACATATTCCCATTCTGTAGATGAGGTAAGTGGTACTTGAGCAGGATAAGTGAATTATGTTTTATTGGAATGTGTTACGAGATCTAAGGAGAGAACCTATGTTTGTTTTTTGTTTTGTGTTTTTTGGTTGGTTGGTTTTTGACTTACAGTCCATTGCTTTATATTCATCAATATCCTAGTAAGTGTATGGCTCTATAGAAAGTATTTTCTTAGACAATGCATGTTATTATAAGGAAAATACACACATACACATAAAACACAGATTATTATAGAGTATGATATGTTACATAGAGTAATGGATGAACTACTGAATGGTTGACGTGAGTACTTTATGGTCTTGGAGTTCAGAAGAGAAGTTGAGGAACTTGGTTTCAGGTATTGTTAAAGCAATTGATAATACTTGATCTAGGCTTTAAAGAAAGGATAATGCAGGAGAGAATTCCACACAAGAACGAATGATGCTGATGGGGCTAGAGTAATGTTCAGGGAACTAAGAAGCTTTATTTTGCTTCTTGCAAACATATGGCGGTGGGCATGACTAGAATGGCCTTTTGAGGCCAATGAGTTGATGGTCTAGATGAAGGAGTTCATATTTCGTAGACTTTCAGGAAATTGGAAGTCACTGCATTTAAACTGAAGAGTAAGTGGAGAAAATATGTTTTGAGCGAAATTAATTATGTGGTAGTGTTTTAGATGGTCCAGGATGTAAAGTAATAAGTCCTTTACTGCAGTGGATGTACCAGGGATGAAAACCGAAGAATGGTGAAAAACATTTTTTTAAGAAATTTATTTTAGAAAGTTATTTCAAAATAATTTCAAATTTACAAAAAGTTCCAAAAATAATACAAAGAATACCCTTATAGCTTTACTATTGTGAACATTTAAGCCAACTTGTTTTGACATTTGTGCTCTTTCACTGTCTCTTCTCTCTCTCTTTCTTTCTTTTCTCTTAGCCAGTTGAGGGTAAGTTACATACACAATGTCCCTTTAACCCAAAATACTTCACCATATATATATATATTTTTAATGGGAATATCCCCTTATTTAAGAAATAAAAGCCACTGACTTCAGTAAACTTTGCATAGATACAATTTATTTTTCTAATCTGTCATTCATATTCCAGCTTTGTCAGTTGATTCAATGTTATTAATATGCTATAAGCATTTTTCCCCTCCAGTACAGTGTGCAGTCTAGGGCCAGCTATTCTTTTTTTAAGTTGTCATGTTTCTTTAGCCTCCTTTAATCCAGAATATTTCCATGAACTTTCTTTGTTTTCATTACATTAACAATGTTGAAATATATAATCTCTTCCAGTTTATTAATGTAAACTCACTCAGTTTATGTTTATCTGATGTCTCTTCATGATTGAATGTGTATTTTACGTTATTGGATGAAATACTGCATTGCTGTTGTTATGTCCTCTGTACAGTATCCCATCTGGAGCACATGCTGCCCATGTCTTTGGTGATTTAATTTGACCACTAGGTCAACCTGTTGTCCATTTTCTCCATTTTATAATTACCACATTTTGTCCCTTTCAACTAGTAAACTGTCTATGGGGAGATATTAAGACCAAGCACATATCCTGTACCTCATCACAATTTTGCCCTAGATTTAGTATCTACTGGAGAGTTTTACTTGATTCAGTCTTTGCACTGAGAGTTACAAAAATTGATTATTTTCAAACTCCAGCACTCCTTCCACATTTACAGTCAATGCTTAGCATTCTGCTGCAAGCAAGGACTCTTCTTCTCTCTCCCTTCTTTCTTTTTTTTAATTGGTCTTTCTTTTCATTTCTCTTTTTTTTCTGTCTTCCTCCTTTCCTTTTTTTCTTTTTGTTGTAGACCCACTATTGCTATGTTTTTATAATACTTCATAATTACTCTGTCGTATGATTTTGGTGCCCAAATGTTTTTTCAATTTTTGCCAGTGTGAATTTCATTAAGTTGGCCTCTATGATCTCATGACATGCCTTCATTTTTTTTTAGTACTTTCTTTTTTTTTTTTTTTTTTTTTTTTTTGATATGGAGTCTCGTTCTGTTGCCCAGGCTGGAGTACAGTGGAGTGATCTCAGCTCACTGCAGCCTCTGCCTCCCACGTTCAAGTGATTCTGTTGTCTCAGTCTCCCAAGTAGCTGGGATTACAGGCGTGTGCTACCATGCCCAGCTAATTTTTGTAGAGATGAGGTTTCACCATGTTGGCCAGATGGTCTTGAATTCTTGACCTCAGGTGATCCGCCCATATTGGCCTCCCAAAGTGCTGGGATTACAGGCATGAGCCACCATGCCTGGCCCTTTTCTTACTTCTTGGAATAACAGGATGTTCCAGTTACAACTTTTATCTACTATACTTCGCCCCTAGAATTAGCCATTTAATTACCATTTAGTGAGGAATGATATAGGTCAAGATTTGGGTGGTAGGTGTCCTCAATGCTACTGGGGTATCTTTGCTTCTTAACCCCTTCAGCAGACAGATAGGAAATGTATTCAAGTATATATACCGACACCCAAACATACATGTAAATGTATGTACACACAGACATATACATTATATGTACATATAAATATACACATACACACATTTTATAACGTATGAGTTTACACACACACACATACATTTTATAAAGTGTGAGTTTACACTGTTACCGTCATACTTACAGCATTGTTTATTTTTCCCATTCCATACTTACATGTGTTTTCGTCCGAGATGAGAATCCTGGCTCCCAGTAATGTCATTTATTCATTTGCTTAATCCAATAATGCATCTAAAATATTTCAAAATTGCTTTGCCCATACCACTACAGTCAATAAACCAACTAACAAGTCAGGATTAGTTTATGACTATTTGTCTCATTTCTTCCTAAGACTTAACATCAAATGCTGAGTTATTTTTAAAATAACTTAGGTACATTGTTGATTTTTTCCTTCCTTCCTTCCTTCCTTCCTTCCTTCCTTCCTTCCTTCCTTCTTTCCTTCCTTCCTTTTTGTCAGAGATCTCATGAAAGCCAACAATTCATAAGAATGATTCAGCCTTGATTTACATAGTACATAAAAGGCTTCCAAATGTGGCAATGAAAGCTTTAGATTGAGATTTCTTTCAAATATCCTACTGGACACTTGAAGCCACCCATAAATCGGAGAAGCAATAGAAGTTTCTTATTAAATTTTACAGCAAGTCAGAAATTACCGAATGAGAAGAATTTTCAGAAGGAAACTACCAGAGACTCTTCATGCAAAGTCCTACATTTTCCCATATCTTTAAGTTTTATAGTAATTCTGTTAAGTCAGGTATCTGTGGAACACAGGGCAGTACATATTCAGGCTGTTCTTGGGAATGTTTGCACCTCACCTAGGGTCATGAGGATAGTAGTTGCCAACAGAGAAGCCCAAGGAAGGAGATTTCCTAGGTCGTAAATGACAAGGGGTTGTACGAATTATGTGGAATCCCTAAGTGGAAAGTCACTGGGCTTCAACTCATCATCTAGTCTGTCTAAAAAAATCTAGAACTGTGTTTTTTATATCTCTGTGTGTATGTCCTTTATGGAACGACGTTCATCATATATCCAGTTACCCAAGCCTGGAAGCCAGGCATCACCATTCCCTTCATTTCTATCATTCTGTACATCATTAGTAAACCCTAGAAATTATTTCTGTAAAATTATATTTTTGTTGATTATTTTCATTTCTACTATAGCTGCCATAGTTCACTATCCAATCTCTTGCACCCATAAAGGGAATAAACACACACACACACACACACACACACACACACACACACACACACGAGTCATGGTTAACCCCTGCTTCAAATCCTCCTTAGCTCTGAATATAAGAAGCACTGTGAGAAATCTGGACCCTGGCACTCCCACTCCTTTCAATTCCATGTGGGTCACCAACCTACTTGCTCCCAGTTCCCCAGCCATGCTCTCTAGCTGTTTCTCATCCAGAAGCCTTCCTTCATTCGTCTCCCCTTCCTGGAATCCACCCTTGATTGCCTTTCTCCGATTCTTAGCATAGCTTTCTCTTTTTAATTCTTCAAATCTAGCTTAAATATCAAATTAGGCATCTTCTTCCATTTCACATTAAGCAACACAATACCCCATTCATGAAATTCATAGCATTTCTCTGAGTTTTATTATTATATATTTAATTACATCTTTACCTCTTTTGTCTGCTTTTCTCCAATAGACCCTGAGTTTGGAGAAAATGGGCCCTTTCTGCTCCTCTCAACACTAGTTCTCCAATACAAAGGCTAGCACCTGACACATATACCACACAATCAGTAATTTTAGGTGAATTAACAAGTGAACATAAGGGAGGGTTATTTTGCTTGACATGAGAAATGTAACCTAACACAGAACACACATTAACCTTGCTATCTATTTTGGTAAAAATATTTGACTTGGAAATATTGAGATTTCTATACAAGCACAGCATCTAGGAAACATGTTTTGGTTGTTGTCTTGTTGGAGATTATTGTCAATCTGCTATACCTTAGGTATTTTGATCAGAGGCATTTTGCTAATTCCAAATTCTCCTTGGGTAGTGCATTTTTAAATGATTAGAACATTAAAATCTTTCCCCTTCAAAGTCTTATAATTTTTTTCTTATTTAATCAACAAATATCTACAGTAGTAGAAGTGGCTATATTACTGATGAGTATTAAGCATTGGAGTAAAATCCTGAGAAAAAATAATGTTTTTTAAAGAAGGTAACAATCAGTTAATATTTTCTTAGTCATCAAATAATGGGTTTGGGAGCTAATTCTCCCCAATGAACAAATATATCTGCCATTACTGCAATTATAATGTTTTTTTTTCATGTAACTGGGCCATAGTTGCTTCAATGCCGTTTTACTACCTTTTTATTATTTGTGCTCTCTGTGTATATCCTATTCCTTTGAGAAAGGAAAATGAGTACTGTCTTATTTTTGTTGCTGAACTCCTTAGTCTGGAATTAACTGGTGTTTCCCTTTTTTAGAGCTGCTAAGAACTTGACAACTGGGGGTAATGTTTAATTTCAAGTGTTAGAAATTTTTTTTTCAGAATTTTTTTTTTACTATTGGTTGTTTCATTAATAGAGCCTTTAAGATGGAACATGGTAATTTCAGGATCAGGGTAGGGTTCACTGAGTTAAGGCTCATATTTTAATGTAGCATCGAATAAAAATCAAGGCAAGGCCCACATGACATTTTTTCTTTTTTTAGACGGAGTTTTGCTCCGTCGCCCAGGCTGGAGAGCAATGGCGCCATCTCGGCTCACTGCAACTTCCACCTCCCAGGTTCAAGCGATTCTCCTGCCTCAGCCTCCCGAGTAGCTGGCATTACAGGAACCCACCACCACGCCTGGCAAATTTTTTGTATTTTTAGTAAAGACAGAGTTTCACCATGTTGGCCAGGCTGGTCTCAAACTACTGACCTCAGGTGATCCACCTGCCTAGGCCTCCCAAAGTGCTGGGATTACAGGCATGAGCCACCGTGCCTAGCCCATTTTTTAAACTTCTCATATTCTTCATTGTACTTAGCTTCTTAATTCAATGTTGCTGGTGTCTTTAGAGATTTATATTTGGAAATAATTAAATATTAATTTTATTTGTTACCAAAGAAGTAGATCCCCACAGAACAATATTGAGGTCATTGAACAGGAAGAACTGAGGGAGAAGATAGAAATGATGTCACAGGAAAAACCAGAATTGGCAAGGATGCAATGGTACTTTTGCATCAGATAGACAATCAGGAGGTATGGTGGTGAGGGTAGGAAGAAATGAAACAATTATTTATGGTGACATTTTTGTTTTAAAAATGTTTGCAGAAAGGGAATCAGAACAAGCCAATGACTGAAAAGAGAACATGCCAAGGATGAGTAGAATGTTGTTTCCAAGATTAAAACTAATAAAGAGTGTTTGAAAATGAAATAGGGTTAAGTACAGTTCAGGGGAGTTTTGTGCACAAATACATGTATAATCATCAAAGACAATTAACGAAATATGTAAACAATTTTTCTTGCACAACAAAAAGCATGCCATCGAAATTTTACTTACAGATATTTCCTTAAAATGCTATCTAATATTTTACTGTCTTGACTAAAGAGATGGAAATTTGTCAGACTGGCTGAAGGGGACACACATTGGTGGTTGTTCAGTCTTCACTACCCCTGGAGAAAAGGTTCAATGCATTTTGTCAGGGGCTGATTCTAGGATTGGCTCTAATTAATATTTTCATTAACATGGATGATGGAATGGCATAACTTGATACATTTTCCAATTATGGCAAATCGGGTGGGGAAGCTAGCACATGGAAGAACTTGATTACAAAATAAGTGAACATTTTTAGTTGCAGAAGAGAGTGACTGACAGTTTATTTAGACAAGAGCAAGATGTTGGGTGTGAACCACTAGTACTGATACAAGTACTTTATACTTGTGTTGTAATATTTAGAAAACAAGTTCACATCTTTGCTTATTTATCTTACCTTGAACCTTGCAAAGAGGTAAAATGATCACTCTGGAGATAAAGACGGGACTAAGTTTGCTATTAATGGGTTTGACAGAGAAATATGGAGGGATAGAAAGAAATGAGGACTGAGTGGAATAGTCAATTGCTAAATAAATTTGCATCCAAGCTTCACCCTAGGATGTTTAAAGATTTTTGCCTTGTGGTATGGAGCATGGTGGGCTAATTTTACTGATATTATCAAAATTGGGCAGGCTTTCAATTAGTGTATTTTGCTCAATTTAGTTATACAAAATTTAAGGACCAAAAAAATGGCATAAGTCCAGAAATCAACACAATTTCTAATGTGTTTAGAAGACTAACGTGAACAAAAACTATGGCCATTATTGAGCATGAAGAGGGAAAGTGAATAGTATATATTTAACTTCAAACACACTTTCATGTTTCATTACTGGAAGAAAGGGCTGCAACTCTCCACTGTTTCTGTTGGGTATAGGGAACTATATAGTCCTTTTTCTTTATTTTATTTTCCTGGAAGAACATTTATAAAGAATAACATTACCTAACCATGAAGCTGAGATATATCACTTTCTAGTGGGATGCCTGAGAATAATCACTGCCCCTAATGCGTCTCTCTGTGCACCCTCCCTTCTTTCCCTTTTTCCTCCCTCTTTCTTTTACTGTTTCCTCACTCTCTTGCTAATTTGTTTATTTTTCGCCTTTAAAAAATACCATTACCATGCGTGGTGGCTCATGCCTGTAATCCCAGCACTTTGGGAGGCCGAGACGGGCGGATCACGAGGTCCGGAGATTGAGACCATCCTGGCTAACACAGTGAAACCCCATCTCTACTAAAAATACAAAAAATTAGCCGGGCATGGTGGCGGGCGCCTGTACTCCCAGCTACTCTGGAGGCTGAGGCAGGAGAATGGTGTGAACCCGGGAGGCGGAGCTTGCAGTGAGCCAAGATCGTGCCACCGCACTCCAGCCTGGGCGACAGAGCGAGACTCCGTCTCAAAAAATATATAAAATAAATAAATTAAATTAAATTAAATTAAAATTAATTAAAAATGCCATTACTTTTGTTAATGAGGATTTTTTTGTTAAGACTAAAATTTGGACAGATTAAAACCTGTCTTTAGAATGTTTTATTATATAATCCAGGCTTACCTTTTAGCATCATTTAAGTGTTCTTACTATATACAACTGAGTACCAAGGAGGTATTTGGCTCCTTGTATTTTACAATGTGATATTGCTATGAAAGCCTAAAGTTGAAAGTGCCTTTCAGATATGGAAAATAATCATATATTTTCTTCTCTTTTAGGTCAAATGGCAGGTGATCATACTAGGCTGGAGTTCCATAACATAGAGACTGGCATCATCACAGAACGACGGTATCTTTCTTCTGTCCCCTCCAACTTCATTGGACACCTGCAGAGCCTGACATTTAATGGAATGGCATACATTGATCTGTGTAAAAATGGCGACATAGATTACTGTGAGCTCAATGCCAGATTTGGCTTCAGGAACATCATAGCAGATCCTGTCACCTTCAAGACCAAATCGAGCTATGTTGCCTTAGCTACCTTGCAAGCCTACACTTCTATGCATCTTTTTTTCCAGTTCAAGACAACATCCCTAGATGGACTAATTCTATATAACAGTGGGGATGGAAATGACTTTATTGTGGTTGAATTAGTTAAAGGGTGAGTACATGCCTGTTCAATAACAAATAAATAAAACTTTGGAAAAACGGACATCAGTTTCCAAAAATATACACTAAGAAGAACATACTGGCTCATAAGGCGGTGGGCAGGAGTAGGTGGACGACAAATAAGAATGCATTTATTTAAATCATCTCTTAGGTATCTTAATATGGATTCAGGACAGTTTTTTGCACCTACATTTTCACATATGAGGTACAAAGTACATCAGGCTCTAATTTATGGTAGGCATTTCATGAATCTTACGATTCAAGTGGGCATTTCCTGACTACGCACAGTGTAATTCCACAAAAGCATTGCTACAAGTTTGTAGGATAGTCTAAGCTAAATTAAATCGCTAATTCAATATGCAGATTATTTAAATTTCAAAAAATCCTTTTAACTGAAATTACATTCTATGTCAGAGTTCCTCAGATAATTTAGAAAGGAAAATTTATGTAAACTTTCCTTAAAACTGTGAGGAAAATTTAATGTATTTTAATTGATTTGAGCATTTATTCACTCATTCTGCAAATATTATTGCATATTTACAATATGCTACATCACGTGCCATGCATGGATATAAATATTTATACTTCTGCCACCCTTATGTACATCTCAGATTTCTACCACCCCGAGTCACACCCACACACACCAACACACAATCCTAGGGTTTGTAGATGAACACATAAATAGAAAAGAAAAGCACTGGGACATGTTTCTTGAGATGATCACATGCAAAGGTTCAGGAGAGTCTTCAGGGAAATTAGAAAAACGTGTGGAGCAGGGAGTGGCTGTTTGATCTGGTTGTTGAAGGATGAGTACACATTCCCTGTACTCAAACAGGGTATCAAGATAGAGGAGAAAAGCAGGTGCAAGAACAAGAAGAATGGCCTTTTAGTGGTTAGAAAAGGATGGAGGGAATTATGGAAATAAGGAATGTGTGGTGAAAGATATTACTTTCCAAATTCATAAAGTTAAATGTAGACCATGATTTTAAAAAATAATTTTCACCATTTCCTTTAGTGAAGACACTGAATAATCCTCCTTGCTGAAACAGAATAATGTTTGTTACCTTCCTGATAGCTGAGTTTCTATGTAATTCATTGTCATGACTTCTAGTAAGGATGGAACCACCTTAAAAAGAAATCTCCATTTGTAATATCCTACTTTAGCTTCATCAAAATTTAAAAAGTGATGGCACTTTCCCCTTTCATTTTTTTCCCAGGTACTTACATTACGTGTTTGATTTGGGAAATGGTGCTAACCTCATCAAAGGAAGCTCAAATAAACCTCTCAATGACAATCAGTGGCACAATGTGATGATATCAAGGGACACCAGCAACCTCCACACTGTAAAGATTGACACAAAAATCACAACGCAAATCACCGCCGGAGCCAGGAACTTAGACCTCAAGAGTAAGTGCATGTTAAGTCCAAGTAGCCAGCCTTGCAACTCAAGGTCTACCTTCACATGGGAAATCCTTTGCTTAGGCGTGTGTGTGTACCTTCTGCAAAGACTGACCAGAATTTCATTTTCAGCACATAATTAATAATACAACACACAAGTCTCTGCTCCCCTTTAATGTGGTAGGAACCTGTGTATTTTTCATAACAGCTCAAAAAATGCAGCACCTAAGAAAGCATGCATGATTAAAATGTGAAAAGTCAGAAAAATGTAATACTAGTCTGGCTATTAAAAAGGCATTTGTAAGTTACATAAGTCCCAACAGTTTTCAACTGATTTGGAGTCAGGGAACCACATATATAGGAGCTTATTCTAGAGCTTATTAATTTTCTTTCCTTGGTAAGGTTTCCTAGATACTGTCAGACTCCCTGACCAACAGGAGTTGAGCCTGGCTTAGATACCCTGTGTCTACAACAGTGAATTCTATCCCCCATCCCAACAAACACACACACAGACACACACACACACACACACACACACGGGAATGCTTCTTTCACCAGCTGCTAAGAAAGTCTTAACATATGTTTCTCTTCCTTATTGATACTTCATTTCTCAAATGTACGTGACAAAATGCTGAGAAAACATGTCAATAATAGGAGAGAAATGACTGAAGTTTCTATTTGAATCACACTTTGTGATTCACTAAGAATATATGTGTGTATCCCATCTCCTGTAACACTACAACAAGCATTCCAAAAGGTGTTATTAGCATGTTATTCTCAATGTAGAAAATCTGATGTTTGAATGGCTTGCCCAGGGATAAAACAACACCAACACCCTCCCCCAACCCCATGGATTCTTCGCTCTATCCTGATGTATCACAAAGCCCCACAGATATCATTGCAGGCACAATTTTTCTTTTTCTTTTTTTTTTTTTTGAGACGGAGTCTTGCTCTGTCGCCCAGGCTGAAGTGCAGTGGCCGGATCTCAGCTCACTGCAAGCTCCGCCTCCCGGGTTCACGCCATTCTCCAGCCTCAGCCTCCCGAGTAGCTGGGACTACAGGCGCCCACCACCTCGCCCGGCTAGTTTTTTGTATTTTTTTAGTAGAGATGGGGTTTCACCGTGTTAGCCAGGATGGTCTCGATCTCCTGACCTCGTGATCCGCCCGTCTCGGCCTCCCAAAGTGCTGGGATTACAGGCTTGAGCCACCGCGCCCGGCCGCAGGCACAATTTTTCTTAGAAAGAGCTGCTCATTTTATTGATGGGATCTTTCCCTTTGATTCAAAAGGTAGATACATTGGGGAGGGGAGTTAGGAAACTGGAAAGATAAAATTTAAGTTTTTTTTTTTTTTTTTTTTTTTGAGACAGAGTCTTGCTCTGTCGCCCAGGCTGGAGTGCAGTGGCACAATCTCAGCTCACTTCAACCTCTGCCTCCTAGGTTCAAGCAATTCTCCTGCCTCAGCCTCTGAAGTAGCTGGGATTACAGGTGCTCGCCACCACGCCTGGCTAATTTTGTATTTTTAGTAGAGACGGGTTTTTGCCATGTTGGTCAGGCTGCTCTCGAACTCCTGACCTCGGGTGATCTGCCCGCCTCGGCCTCCCAAAATGCTAGGATTACAAGTGTGAGCCACTGCACCCAGCCTCAACAGAACTCTTTCTAGAGAAAAATGCTCTTTCTAAATAAGGTGAAAGGAGAAAGAAAAGTGTTTCACTTTCTGTAATTGCAGAATGTATTTTGAATCCTGGGACTTCATTTGTTCAACACATACAATGTGTAGGAATGGCCATCTCCCTTCTTTCACAGTGGGCTTCTTGTTAACTTCAAAGAGATCTTATTTGTACCCACAAATCTAATAGCTTGGCTCAAAAAATAAAATGAAATTCAAAGAAGTGCTTCTTACAGGCCAAACCTTTCTCTTTATTCTCTCTGGTTGAAGTGCTTTTTCTTCTGTATTTTTCATGTGCCCCTGTTTAGCACAGTGAGCTCAGGTGGTAATTGTCAAAAGAAAGGGAGAGATTGTAAAATTCAGTGTGTTGACCAAGCCACCAAAGTTAAAGCAAAAAGTGCCCTGTTCGTGTAGGTGAGACATCAGTAAGTATAAGTGAACTTCTCAGGAAATTAGGGATACTCTGTTGGAGATTAAAATGGCTTAAAAAAAGCAGTTTATAATTGGTTGAAGTATGTGCCATGCACATACACATTGAAGGTTCAGAGAAGCAATGCCGGACAATGGATTGTATTTCTTCAGATAGTTAGGACACTGTCTCCTGAGAAGTAAATATCCGCTTATTGTTCATTAACAAATGGAAGTGAAGGTAATAGGAGATTGTAGTCCAGGATTCCTTCTGGTGGGGGTACTTAACACATCTAAGTACTTCAGAGTTAATTTTTATTAAAGCATTAAATGATGCATGACTCTGAAGATAAAACAGGCTTTGCCCATAATAAAGAAGAAAACACTTTATGAATTTAAAAATGGCATATTACATAATATTAAGATATATAGTCATGAACTCACTGTACTTGCATTTTTTAAAAAAGCATAATTAAAATTGCTTGTGAATTTCCCATGTGAAGGGGCTAATCATTAGTATAGAATAATACCTTCTGCGTTGCAGAAAAGTAAGAGCAAGTTTCTAAAATGAGTCCAAGTTTGGGCTGATAAATTGGGTGTGTGATCCGATGGCAACAGTCATCCCATGTTGCCTCTTATCATGTGCACCATCAGCTAGAGGGAGTTTGAGGACAGCCTGCTGTGGGGCCTGACGTCTCTTGTCTCCCATCATCGCCACTTTGGGTAAGTGTGACTGTGGGCGTTGGCCAGAGCATGAGTATTTACGGAGCATTGACTTTGGAAAGAGGACAACAGGGTTTCTGCAATGGAAAGCTCTCCATCTCTAGGAGAACTCTGGCATTGAGGGAGCACTTGTAGGACAGAGAAGGACAGGATGCTGTGGAGCTGTAGTGGGGCATTGAAACGAAGCTGGGATCACCTGGAAGGCTTTTTTTTGTGGCAGTAATGTTTGAGGGATATTTGAAGGGTGAGTAAGAGCAACGAGGCATTGTTTCTTTTTTCCACCTGGATGGCTACTGGATTTTAGAGGGGTTTATTCATAAACGAGAATTTCTACATGAACTCTTTGCGCAGACATGGACAGCAGCGTTTTCTTTGCATACTAATCACATAGCACTGAGCTGCAGGAAAAATGAAAGTTGATTTTATTTTGGTCAATAGATTGTATTCTTAAGGAATTAAAGAAAACATCAGATTTACTCTCCACCCTGCTGAAAGTCACTGCAACTATCTTTGGTGCTTCTCAAAGGAAGGTCAGCCAATTTTAACTACATGAGAATCATGCAGTGATGTTTGTGAAGTGCAGATTTCTGGATCCTATCTCACACCAACCGAGGCAATAATCATTTGAGAGAGATGTGCAGAAAACAACAGGCATCGGTTTTTTCAAAGTGCATTAAGTGATAGAGATGCCATGTGCTACAGAGTCCTGAAATAATGCAAGATTTGTGTTGAGGCCAAATTTAACTCCCTTTTAAATTTTTGTATAAATACTGCTTTTGCTTTTATTTCAGAATTTTACTGTTTTTTGTTTGTTTTGCCAGCCCTGGACTGAAGTCACATTATTGGCTGGTTAGGATTATTGGGAGAATTTTTTTTTTTATCCTCCTTATGTTTTACTATACCTTAAAAAGACACTAGAGGGCAGCAGAAGGCCACAAAACGTGCTACAGAGGACCCGGGAGTTGGGGAAACCTCAACCTGCTCCATTTGCAAGGGGAAGTAGAATTTCTTTTGTTTTCAGACATCTAAATTTCCACAGTTGGCTTTTATAGTGATGCATGCTTTTGTCCATAGCTCTGTTTCGTTATAGGAACAGGACTTTAGTGTAGAACTTTGAAAACTGGGGTCCATGTATTTCATTCTCCACCTTGACCCCAATAGAGACGATCAGAAATGGGCAGGAGTCTAATGATCTTTCTCTCAGAAGATAAATACCACGCAGCTGACCTTGTTCAGCTTATCTTTCCTGACACCGCTCGATTCTCAGGGGGTTGTGTGTCTCTCCCTGCTGATACAGTTTTGCTTTCATCTTTATTTCCCAGCTGTTTGTGTTCTATTCCCTCTGGTTATTATGTACAAGCAGCAACATGCAATGAAAGGAGCAGCAGAAATTTGCTCTCTGGAATGATTTCCTAGCCTAGCTTTGTATTCATTTCAGGATTTCTGAGCCCTGCCTCCTTTGGAGAGATAAAGGGTTGGTGCGATTCTTCTTTATGTTCCTTCTCTTGTTCCTGTATTTGGCAAATTTGTATGTCATGATGTGTATATATATGGAAGGGAGCTAATATTTATTAAATACCTACTAAATGCTAAATAGATTTAACTGAGGTTATTGTATTTAATCCTTGCAATTACCCAGGGATTTAAATTGAAGTCAGTCTTGCTCATTCATTAATCTAGTTGAAGAGAAAAATAGGGAGGAAGAATTGCTTTTGGCCCCCACTTTCAATGAGTACCCTTATTTAACGCATTACCTAAGTTTATCCTTCAGCAAATTGAGGATATATAGTTTACCTGATGGGGAAAAATTAGATTCCCAGCTGTGTAGCATAGAGCGCCCTCAGGTGGCCGCCTAGCAAAACTATGTAAAACTGAGTACAGTGATTTATTTATGGACCACATCTAGGTCAGCCCAGACAGCACTTTATCCTTTCTTCCTCCTCTATTCTCTCTCGCAAACCCAAAATTCCTTCAAGGGTTTTGAGCTCTGGCATTGTCTTCTGATCTTGCCCCTTTTCCTTCTTACCACGATCACCACCCATTTGTCTCCTCCTCAACATTTCTGCTATTCCTCCTTAAATCGCACCCTGAAGGGAACTGTCTGCCATTGTTCATCCTGCTACCAAGCCACTTAAATGTCTCCGAATCAGAAACAACTCAACAGGGACTTTCTTTTCAAATATACTCAATCTCTAAGCAAAACTTGAAGATA